TTCGGGACCTCTGAGAGCTTCGATGCAAGCACGCATCCCGCTGTTCCACCTAGCATATACATGCGTCAGAGCACATCGTGGGTGGTGCACTCTAGCAAAACACTTACCGCCACTGATGATGTAGTCAAACGTCTTGAACGCTACACTTCCTGGTGTATGGCTTGGGTATCCACTGGAGAATGGCCGCATTTTTCTGTAGCTACGAGAGAACTGGAAGTGAGCGCGATATCGCTGTCCTGCATCATTTTATCATGTCAGACGGGTGATGTGCGCATCATACATAGTCGGACGCTAACCAATGCTGCAGGTTTAGTAACGTGGCTCATTTCTGAAGCCGGCGACGCTTCATCGACGGGTTACTGTAGATTTTCGACCTGAGCAGCAATCATGATTCACACAGTGGTATACGAAGTATGTGGTATCCCGATGGCGCGTTCTTTCGACCATGATCACGGCCTCCCTGTGTATGAGGAAGAGGCATGAGCAGGAATTTGGTTACAGGAGCAGATACAAACATATAGGCGAATGATTTGAAGCGTTTTTGGACCCTGAAGAACCACCCATGGATGAGGACGACCGGGGAGATGAGGTCCACAGGTAACACACCAGTGGATGTCTCGTCAAAGGGGGGCTGGAGTATAACTCCTGACCACCGATTATGGTTTTGGCATGGACGGTGATTGAGGGTGAGGGAAAACTGGTAGGTTTAGGGCTTGGCGGGTAGAGTCTATCGACTGGCTCGCTGCTCATGTGGGGCCAGGGCCATCTGGTGCATTTCTGCGAATTTCTCACACCCGCAGGTTTTGAGCTTACCGGCACGAACACATATTTATTGACCGTAGCACAGACCCCATTTAACGTTAACAGTAGTCTGCAGGCCTTTATAAACAAGCGGAGAACAAAACATGAATGACGGGCACAGGCCACAGGGGCCCCGGGCCGCCATCCGCGCCTACCTCCTCCGGGACGCCCAAACGGAACCAGGGTGCCTAGTTCAGATAAAGACGTGATATAAGTACTCCCACACTGGGTGGTAAGCGCACTTTTTTCTGGCATAAAATTAGCCAAAAACTGATCCAACAAGGCCCCAACTTTATCTGGTTTTCACCTGAAAAAAACTGAAGGCAAAACTCATTTTTCCGCCAGTTTTACTGTGTTTTAGACCCTTTTGGCTGGTTTTGCATCGGTTTCTCCTCAATTTGCATTGGCGTAGAATCGAGGAATAACAGGGCCTTGTTTAGCCACTTTTGTCTGAGTTTTCTTGAGAAAAAAACTGCGCTTACCACCCTGTGATATGTGCTCTGGCCAAGCCGAAGTTTGCAAGACGCATGCTAAGAGCCCAAATTGTGTCCTTCAACTCGCAGGTGTTATGATGGGCATGGTGGCGTGGGATATCATTTCCTTTTCGAGTCTCTGACTCTAGTTTAGTAGTACTGCCTTCATCGACTCATAGAGCGCAGCTTCACTGACTCACCCGCAGTTCCTTTGACTAGTAGACTAGTCCTTAGGTTAGGTTGAGCAGTAGTATATATACCCCGCGCATGTACAGTAGCACCCCAGCTTTCAGCTCTTTCGTAAATTCATGTTTCTTTATTCTGCTCTAACCTCATCTGCGGATAAGGCGATCAGACAAGCTTCAGGCTTGCTAAGAAACCTCTGTCATAACAGCAGGAGTTGGGCTCTACCCGAGCAGAACTGGCGAGCAAGTGTGGCGAGCAAGAAGCTCTAAGACCCAGTCACTCGCCAGTGCGCCTTTCCTCCTTCCCTTCCCTTCCTTCTCTCGAATTTTTCCCTGAGATTCAGTTGCCCTGGGCGACTCTCCTCCGCAGCTCTCTTCCCTCCCCGCTTATCGGAACTGTCAAGCTTTTCACAAAGTTTGTTTGGCAGCCGGCGGCATTCAGCGACTATCTAACTAATCACTCATTCCAGCTCGATTGGTGGGGTCGGGCATAACGCATGATGCATGATCATGATATGTGATCATGAGCACAGAAGTTTACTTCCGGTCCATCCGTACCAACAGGACAGATGATCAAGGAGGGCACGAAGGCAAAACGTCCCCTTCCCGGGAAACTATGTGCGATGTCTCGCGGAATGGGGACTTAGTCTCCCGGCCCAGCCTGGGCCGCTGTGCGGTCCCGGGCACGGCGCATGTGTAAGTGTGCGATGCACACCAATTAATTGATTCTGAGCACGCCGGAGGACGCCCCTTGGAATGTGATCGAATCGGCGCAAAGTACATATGAGCTATGCCTTCGGCAGAACGCTTTCACACAGGCGACCGCTCACTCGAGTCTTTACACCTTTGGCTTCTCCGTTTGTCTATTTTGTCTCTTCTTCGAGGTTCCAACTATGGATCTGTCCGCTTACTGTTGCCTCTCTTTGGTCATCTACGCCATAACTTGCGCATTTCGCAAGTGTATGTACACTGAGCGATGTGTGAGTTGATCTATGATTTTTGCTTTGCCAGGCTACCATGCAAAATTACTATTGACCACTCTGTAGCTCCAAAGCATACCGACCGTCGGGCCGTCTCTTCCCATTCTCTCTTGGTATGGCGCAATCCGCTTTCCACTACAAGCAAACAAAGTCCTCTATGAAGGATACACGAAGGTATGCACCGACTTACAATGCGCTTGCTGATATCAAGTTCTCAGCTATCGTCCGACAGTACAAAGGCGGTTGTTTCAAGATTGCGCAGTTCAACCGCTGGCTTGTCATTGTTATGATGGGCATGGTGGCGTGGGATATCATTTCCTTTTTCGTCTCTGACTCTAGTTTAGTAGTACTGCCTTCGTCGACTCATAGAGCGCAGCTTCACTGACTCACCCGCAGTCCCTTTGACTAGTAGACTAGTCCTTAGGTTAGGCTGAGCAGTAGTATAAATACCCCGCGCATGTACAGTAGCACCCCAGCTTTCAGCTCTTTCGTATATTCACGTTTCTTTATTCTGCTCTAACCTCATCTGCGGATAAGGCGATCAAACAAGCTTCAGGCTTGCTAAGAAACCTCTGTCATAACATTAGCTGAAAGCTTCTCAACAAGGCGGACCTAAGACAGGTTTACGCCATGAAGAATAGTCAAGACGACTACTCCACAAGCAACTGGGGTGAACGACTGCGCCACAGCAGCACCCAGACATAACCTTAGGCCTGACAATAGGCACGACTACCACCGATACGACGAAGGACATTGGAGACGTTGTTTTCAACAACTTTGCCCCAACCGATACTACGCATATCAAGGAACAGTACGAGTACCACAAGGACTCGTCCTCTGCGACCCAGCACAAGAAGAATTCATTCGAGAAAGGGACAGGCTTAACGAAGAAGCCAGGCTTAGAGAAGAACAAGCCCAACAAGCAACTCAACTATCCGCTAGCGTACCACCGTCCAGACCACAGACACCACACCCATACGATCAATCTCGCAGACATAGCCGAGCACCCAGCAGGGCAGAAACCTCTACCTCTATCGAAGTAGACGACGAAACACCCGAAGCACAAGGGTCACTTCAGGTATCAGAAATCAGACTCGAACCATTCGATATCCCCTTTCCGGATCTTGACGTACCCATCCCACCTGAACGACAGGAAGAAATATACGAAGTTACCAGACAACTTCAGACACCCTCCACAATGGCAGACACAAACACTCTCATGCGAGAAATGATTGAGGCACTTCAAAAAGCAAACAAACATGCCTCTACTCCGAAGCCCCAGAAATTCGATGGCACGCAGGGAATTCAGGACTTCCTGAAAGACTGCGACATCTACTTTAAAGGCAAAGACACAACTAAGGATGCAAAGAAAATTCTCTTTGTACTCAACAACACCGAGAAGAAGCCACACGACTGGTGTCGCACTAAATTTGACGAATACGAAGCCAGCACAACTTGGCCCACATGGACCAAATTCAAGGAAAATTTCGCTAAAGCCTTTCAGAAAGTGGATAGCGAAGTCGACGCCATTGTAAAACTCGACAGAATAATGCAGTCAGACTTCGACTCAGTCAATGACTACAACGTCAAATTTAACCGACTTGTCAAGGAAGCCAAGTACAACAACCCGAGCACAGACACCTACCTCCAACGTACCTATACAGGAGGACTCAAATCCGTCCTTGCAAAGACTCTCATCCAACGAGAAAAGAAGCCAACCACACTCCAAGGATGGCAAGAAGAAGCACTCAAGCTGGACAACGCAGAAATAGAATGGGACAAGCTCAGACGAGGAAGACAAAGGGGAAGGATCGACAAGACTACATCTCACTCCGGAGGAAATGGAGGAGGAGGAAGAACTCAGAAACGCGACCCTGATGCCATGGACATCGACGCCATATCCCGAGACCAAACACGCCGAGAGGGACGATGCTTCAATTGCGAAGGCAAAGGACATATTGCCAGAAATTGTCCCTCGCCCAAGAAACCCCAGCAACGCGACCAACAAGGAAGATACCAATCCAATCGCTCGCAACAAGGCAACCGTCCTCAGACAAACCAGAGATCAGGACAATGGAATAAAGGAAATTCCACCAATGTCCGCACTACAGCGGTCAGAGAGGAACCCAACCTCATTGATCTCGACAACGAACCTAGAGATTTGGTCAAAGAAGTAACCAAACTCTCTCAAGAAGATGCTAAGGATCTCTTCGCCCGTTATCTCGAAGCTAATCCGGATTTTCATGTCTGAGGGTTGCCCCAACGTCAACACCTCTTAGAATATCAATTTCCTCTGTATTAATTGCCGACATGCAATCAAAATCGATGCGTATCCCCATTCAAATCAGAGCAAAAGAAACTGTTGGAAAAGTCCTTGCACTAGTCGACTCAGGAGCACAAGGCAAATTCATCAATCGAAGAACAGTCCGGGAATTAGGACTACAAGAGAAACCCTTGAAAAGACCAATCAAAGTACTCAATGTCGACGGAACCCCGAACGAACTTGGGTTCATTCGCAACGAAGTCGAAATCGACATGAACGTGGGAAACCAACCTACCAAAGAAAGGTTGTTAGTTACCCAATTAGGCAAACAAGACATCATCCTCGGTATGGACCGGTTACAAGAAAGAAACCCGTCCATCAACTGGAACAAAGGCACCTTAGACTTCTCAAAAAGAATTCAAAGATGCGAAATCGAGGAATTACCAGATAATGAAGGAAGAAGCATCAATACCCTTCCATCCAACGACTCAGCACTCCTTAGAAAAGAAACAGAATTTGCGGTCACTATCTCGAAAGGAGGACAAATACCCACTAGAGGAACAGAGGAAGCCGCAGGACTTGATCTCTATGCAAGCGATGACCAGATAATACCACCTCAATCTCGCATGCTTATCAAAACAGGGCTAAGCGCTCAAGTTCCTGAAGGAACCTATGGACGAATTGCACCAAGAAGCGGACTAGCAGTCAAAGGAATCGACGTAGGAGCAGGAGTAATCGACAGAGACTATACTGGAGAAATTTGCATACTCCTCATCAACTCCAAAGTCGAAGAACACAAAGTGGTCAAAGGAGATCGCGTGGCGCAACTAGTACTCGAACAAATCTCTATGGCAAAACCCAAACAGGTCGAAACCTTACCAGGAACTAAACAAGGAACAAAAGGGTTTGGGTCTACCGACACCAAAACAATACAAGAAGCCAGACCAGGAGAAATAGCCCGACACGTGCTACACCTTCTCAGGAAAGGAGCACCTCTGGACCAGTCTATACACATTGCCTCGATAATCGCCTCGGAACCCGTCATACAAGCCAAACAATGCGAGGAAGGAGACTACATCCTTGCATACACTCCAGGAGACTCCTTCGCATACGCCATGCGCACCGAACCAGACAAAAGGGCCAAAGACATAGCATCTTTATGGATTAACGCAAAAATCAACCCGGCAATGGCAATGGCACAACAGGCAACGGAGAATACAAAAAACAAACTACCAACCACTTATCAAGACTATCAAGACGTCTTTGAAAAACAAGCAGCCGAACGGTTTCTGGAATCAAGACCATACGACCATGCCATCGACCTGAAACCTGATTTCATCCCTAAAGATTGCAAGGTCTATCCGTTATCTCCATTAGAACAACAGAAACTCGACAAATTCCTCGACAAGAATATGCGAAAAGGCTACATGCAACCATCAAAATCACCAATGGCCTCACCATTCTTCTTCGTAGGAAAGAAAGACGGAACGCTACGACCATGCCAAGATTACCGGTATTTGAACGATGGCACTATCAAAAACGCATACCCACTTCCTCTCATCTCAGACCTCGTCGATCAACTCAAAGGATCCAGCATATTCACTAAGCTTGATTTACGAGCAGGATACAACAACGTATGAATCAAAGATGGAGATCAATGGAAAGCAGCCTTCAAAACAAACAGAGGACTATTCGAACCAACGGTCATGTTCTTTGGACTATGCAACTCCCCGGCAACATTCCAAGCAATGATGAATGACCTATTCCGCGACATGGTCAACGAAGGATGGCTAGTCATATATATGGATGACATGCTTATTCATTCATCCAATCAAGATGAACATAGAAAGCAAACACGAAGAATCCTTCAAAGACTCCGTGACAATGACCTTTTCCTCAAACTTGAGAAATGCACCTTTGATGCATGGCAAGTCGAATTCCTCGGAGCACTCGTATCACACAACCAAGTTGCCATGGACCCAGTCAAAATCAAAGGAATATTGGACTGGCCGATACCAACTACCGTCAAACAAGTTCGAGGATTTTTAGGATTTGGCAATTTCTATCGACGCTTCATCAACCACTATTCAGACATTGCAAAACCGCTCAATGAACTCACCAAAAAAGACAAGCCGTTCAATTGGACAGACGAATGTCAGAAAGCTTTCGAGACGCTGAAACAGCGATTTACTTCAGCGCCTCTTCTATTAATGCCGGACGCCACAAAGCCATTCCTCATTGAAGCAGACGCATCGCTTTTCACAACAGCAGCAGTACTCCGACAACAAGATATCAATGGAGATTGGCTACCGGTTGCCTACCTGTCCCAATCCTTCAATCCAGCAGAACGCAACTACGAAATCTACGATAGGGAATTACTAGCAATAGTACGAGCGCTCAAAGCGTGGCGCCACTACCTAGAAGAAAACCCAAGCGCCACAAAAATCCTCACCGACCACAAGAACCTCACATACTTCCGATCTCCACAACGGTTGAATAGACAACAAGCAAGATGGCAACTATTCATGTCCCAGTTCAATTATGAACTTGAACACCATGCAGGCACCAGACTCATCCAAGCGGACGCCATGACAAGAGCCTCTGCACCAGCTGATGCAAAATTCGACAATACAGAAGAAGTGTTACTACCCGAAGACAAATTCGTCGCCACAATCCTCCTACCAGACTCATTATTCACCGAAGAAGCAATCATTTCCAACATCGAAATCGAAGCACCCACTTCGAGCGTGGATTATAAATTGGCAGAAGACATTCAAAAACATCTTACACATGACGACATTGCTGAACAAGTCCGATCAGCATGACTAGGAAAAACAGACGCATTTCCTTTCAAGTCAAACACGGATCAATGGGAAGAAAGAGACGGACTACTCTTTTATAAGGAACGATGCTACATACCAGCAAATCAAGCACTACGACGCCACATCGTATCCTCCTACCATGATTCCCCTGGAGCTGGACACCCTGGACAATGGAAAACAGGAGAACTCATCCGACGCGAATATTTCTGGCCAAGCATGCAAACCTTCATCTCAAATTACGTCCAAGGTTGCGCAAAATGCCAGCAAATGGAAATTAATCATCAGCCAACCATCCCACCTCTCCAACCGATCAAATCTACTCAACGGGACTGTCCATTCGCGTTCACAACCTGCGACTTCATCACACACCTCCCGGCGTCTCACGGATATAATGCTCAAATGGTCGTGGTAGACCATGATTCTACAAAGGGGGTAATTCTTTGCCCTTGCACGGAAAAGATAGACGCGCTAGGCACAGCCAAACTCTACCATCAATATGTCTACTGAAGATTCGGACTACCAGACGTCTTTCTCACGGACCGGGGTCCGCAATTCGACTCCCAAGTCATGAGAGAATTGTGGAAGCTAACCGGAGTACAAGAATGAATGAGCACCGCATACCATCCTCAGACTGACGGTCAAACGGAACGAGCCAATCAAGAGGTAGAAGCGTACATCAGAATTTTCTGCCAGAACAATTCGCACAGCTGGGCACAGCTTCTTCCCGATATGGAAGTGGCATTCAACAATCGAGAACACAGTGCCACAAAGCATTCGCCATTCTATCTCATGTATGGCTCACACCCAAGGATCATCCCCACAGCCTTTCCCAAGACTAAGGTTCCATCCATACAACAATGGCTTCTAGAACGAACCCGCGCACACAAAGAGGCCCACGCTGCCTTAGACCAAGCACAGCATCGCATGGCCTCAAGAACTTACAGGAAGTTTTCACCGT